CGTTGGAATACTTTCGTAGGTTTGCCTAGCTTCGTCAAATCACCAAACTATATAGAGCACACCTCTGAACAGAAAGACTCAGTCAGGAATATTTATAGATTATGCGCAGGCAGTTTGTACTGTCACTGCGCTTCCCATAAACTTGATTGATATGTGGGGTTTAACGTCCCGAAACCACCATATTTTTATGAGAGACGCGCTTTCCATAAACTTACAAAGCGATTCCGTTTGTTTCTACACCCTATTTTTATCTTCAATATCATACGGCACGCATTCAAAACTAACCACTCGATGAGAAAATTAAAGGTAGTTTGGTAGACATGCAGTCCACTCACTTGAGATTACAGCAGACAGCGCTACACAGGGAGCCTGAGCAATATATCGGTCTCTGAACTCATGTGCCCAAGTTTCCTCTTCAATGCTTTCACACTTCCTCCGTTTTTCAGAGCGTGTTCAATTCTCTCCAATTCTCTCCACCTTCTTACATCGCATACCTGACGTCTATTAATCAACTTCGAAAGCTCTGCCAGTTCTATTTTGTCTGTTGTACTTGACACTTTCATAATTTAACGCTTCTTAATTAGGTTCTTTGTTTCCTGGGAAAGTTTGCCAGTGTCCTGTCTAACTACCCTGCCTCCAACTTCCACTGCACACTCCGTAATGATACTCGTCAGATTATCATTCATTGTATCTACGCTAAGGTTGGTTTCCTCACTAAGAGCAGAGTACCTGTTCTGCAGCGACACTCTGAATTCCTGTACTTTCCCTCTCAGTGCTAGCTGATTGATTGGCTTCTTGCGTATCAGTAGGCAAAAGTCGGATGTATGCACTAAGGGACAAAGAAGGCAAAATAACTACCAATATGGATAGGATAGTTAAAATAGCGGAGGAGTTCTACAGAGATCTGTACAGTAGCCGAGACAACCACGACCTTAATACTATAAGAACTAGCAGTAACCCAGATTACACCCCACCAGTAATGATAGAAGAAGTCAGGAAAGCTTTGGAGAGCATGCAAAGGGGCAAAGCTGCTGGTGAGGATCAGGTAACATCAGATCTGCTGAAAGATGGAGGGCAGATTGTGTTAGAAAAACTAGCCACCCTGTTTACGAGGTGTCTCCTGACGGGAAGAGTACCAGAGTCTTGGAAGAACGCTAACATCATCTTAATACATAAGAAAGGAGATCACAAGGACTTGAAGAATTACAGGCCGATCAGCTTGCTCTCTGTAGTATACAAGCTATTTACAAAGGTAATTGCTAACAGAGTAAAGAAAACATTAGAATTCAATCAACCAAAGGAACAAGCAGGATTTCGAACAGGCTACTCAACAATTGACCACATTCATACTATCAATCAGGTAATAGAGAAATGCTCAGAGTATAACCAACCACTATACATAGCCTTCATAGATTACGAGAAGGCGTTTGATTCAGTAGAAATATCAGCCGTCATGCAAACACTGCGGAATCAGGGCGTAGATGAAGTATATATAAACATTCTGGAAGAAATCTACAGGGGATCAACTGCTACCATAGTGCTTCATAAAGAAAGCAACAGAATACCAATCAAGAAGGGTGTAAGGCAGGGGGACATAATTTCCCCAATGCTATTTACCGCGTGCTTACAGGAGGTTTTCAGAAGCCTAGAATGGGAACAGTTAGGGATAAGAGTCAATGGAGAATACCTTAGTAACCTGCGCTTCGCCGATCACATTGCATTGCTGAGTAACTCGGGGGACGAATTGCAACTCATGATTACGGAGTTAGACAAGGAGAGCAGAAAGGTGGGTCTTAAAATTAATCTGCAGAAAACGAAAGTAATGTACAACAACCTCGGCAAGAAGCAGCGCTTCGAGATAGGTAACAGTGCACTTGAAGTTGTAAAAGACTATGTCTACTTAGGGCAGGTAATAACCGCAGAGCCGAACCACGAGATTGAAGTAACTAAAAAAATAAGAATGGGGTGGACCAGATTTGGCAAGCACTCTGAAATTATGACAGGTAGATTGCCACTATCCCTCAAGAGAAAGGTATACAACAGCTGTATCTTGCCGGTACTAGGCTACGGAGCAGAAACCTGGAGACTTACAAAGAGGGTTCAGCTTAAATTGAGGACGACGTAGCGAGCAATGGAAAGAAAAATGGTAGGTGTAACTTTAAGAGACAAGAAGAGAGCAGAGTGGATTAGGGAACAAACGGGGGTTAAGGATATCATAGCTGAAATCAAGAAGAAGAAATGGACATGGGCAGGGCATGTAGCGTGTAGACAGGATAACCGCTGGTCATTAAGGTTAACTGACTGGATTCCCAGAGAAGGGAAGCGGGTTAGGGGGAGACAGAAGGTTAGGTGGGCAGATGAGATTAAGAAGTTTGCGGGTATAAATTGGCAGAAGCAAGCACAGGACCGGGTTAACTGGCGGAACATGGGAGAGGCCTTTGTCCTGCAGTGGACGTAGTGAGGCTGATGATGATGATGATGATGATGATGATGATGATGATGATGATGATGATGATGATGATGATGATGATGATGATGATGATGAACTCATGTGCACTGACATCGGTTGCTCTTTCGATGAGGCTCAAAAATTTAGTTTTGTTATCGCTTCCTTTTATCAACATTCTCTACCTATTATTTATAGTGTTCAGATGAATCTAGCTTTCAATGCCACTCGGTGTGTGTAACAAAACGACGTACTTTCTGTTTTTCACAGGCCGTTAATTTCAACGTAATCTTAACATACATAATTTTTCTTTCCTGTCGTTGGTATTGCAATAAGCATCCTTTTGAGCCCTCTGGACAAAAACATTATCTAGCATCTGAAGACAATAACCGGTCCTCTTTTATTAGACAAAAAATTATTACACCGCACACTATACATGGAATACCAATTCAGTTTTACAAAGCAGCCACACCTGAACATTTTGACCAATGCAAGGAACACGAAATACAAAAGGACACGACCCATTGTTGTTCTAGCTCCTTTTTTTGTTCGGTGTATATCTGAGCGTTAGTCATGATGAAAATATAATTCAAACTCCTATGGTCTAGCACCTCATTCCTAAAGTAATGCAAAGCAAGCACTTCCGAAGTCCCAGCTGGAAACTCACTGATGCAAGCAGTGTACATCATCGCCATGCAGCGACGGCAAATAACTTCCACGAAATTCCTACGCTTCCTACCGCACTGCACCGATTTAGAGACACCGCCACATATACGGACAGCTTCTACCAGGCCACCTTTAATAGCAACGGTGGCGTTTGTTTATTCCAAAGGGCGCTTCCCTGCCATTCACCCAGCAAGTATATGGAAGGACTATTTCCTTTCGCTCGAGCGGTATCCGAGAGGCCTTGTCTTTGCTGTGGCATACTGCTGCGCAATGTTGCTTGTTTTTTCTTTCAGTGACTTGTGCGTAAAGAATTCACTGACGTTTGGCCTTACTTTGGCGCCCAGCTTTCTCCCTCCGAGCCAATAACTCGCGCTCGTCTTCTCGCCTCTCCGTGGATTTGGGCGTGCCTCGCGAACCAGTATCATGTGATGCTTCATCGAACTCGCGGAGGATCCTCCCACCCGACCACAGACGTGGCAACAAAGGGCCACACAAGACAGGGCACACGAAAGCATAACTCCCTCGATCGCAGTCATCCACTCTTCTTCCTCATCACATGGGTGGCAGCAATGAGAAGTAAAGAGGTTGCCGCTGACAGAGCATTTGAGGCAGAGCCACAGCTGTCGGCAAAGCAGGTCACGTGCGTTGGACCGCCGTTTCCCAACCGCAGTGTCTAAGGGAAGCGTCGGATAAATGAAAAGAAAGAAAGAAGTAACATGGACAACACAAATAATTGCCCTGAGTGAAGCACTTTTCGAACACCTGAAAGTAAAAGTTAAACGGTTGCTGCTTCCGTTCTGAGCTTTCAGCCGCGTAGAATCTAAGCGTTATTATGGCAGCTTCAGCGTTTAGTCGAGCAAATTAGGTTTCAGTTTACGCACGTGTGAGGGGTGGTGATAGGAGATTAAGAGTTGGTAGAATGTAGTGAACAGCGTTTTTGCGTGGCCTCCTTTTTTACTCGTTGTTTAAGTACTGCGGTAGTACAATCCCTGAACTGTTATTGGGCCATGCGGTTATTTCCGTCATCGTAGTCACATCACCACGCCACAGCCGCAGCTTCAATGTTGCCAAATGAATTGAAAAAAAATTAAGCTTCATTTATGAGCATAACTACTGTAATCCGATTTCATCATCATGTAAAGATGTGAAGTTAGTGGGGTTGGGACAAGAGTTTGCTAAGCGTTACACTATATATACTCTTACTCTGTATTGTGTCCTACTTTCGCGAACATGAATGCAAAGACTTCTGTTGTATGTCGTCGTATGCACCGTCGACGAAGACAATGGGCGCGTCAGCGCCGGAGCGCTGTAAGGAGCGTCACGGTAGGCCGAGAACGGGGAGGGGACTGTTTATTCTGAGAGCGCGCGTCAGCGCGTAGCAGTGGTTACACAATATAGCCGTAGTGTGGCGCTGTGCGACACATCCCGCGAAACCGAAACTAATCAGCGGTCCATGACTCTGAGATTAGTATTTTTGAATTTAGGACATGAAATTCCCGACACCACAACTTATTTCCCATGAACACGACGGATATAGGGCATGCTACAAGTGCATGCTATTGAGACCTTGCCCAAACTGTAAATTCGCTGGGAACTATCCCTGCAAGTAAGTACACTCCTTCGCAGCGCGGTGCTCAACTGGTTTATCGATAAGAAGCGGCTGCTCTAAACGGCTATTATTTTCATGCACATATTGCAACACTCAACACACTTACCATCCCTTGTTTGTTCTTGTCTTAGTCTAGAGCAGAAATATCGGTAATGTGATGAGGCAAAGTTAGGCGGCTGGAAAGTCAACCTGTTAAACCGACCTCTTTTTCATTCCTTATATACATTTTTCCTCACACCTATTCCTATTTTTTTTTCTTCTCTCAATATTGAAGGCCAGTGGGTGCTAACAGTCGGCAGCTACTGGTTACTGGGACTGCTTTTCTCGGTTGCTGACACGAGCAAATCTTTCGCATGGATGAGGAGGTACAAGGTACAAGCGACGGAAACGAAGGTAAGTTCTCTGTGCAAAACTAGTTTCGTGCACGGTCATATTATTCTTTTTTGACTCGCTCGAAACGCTTCATTAGAAATTTTACAGCTCAACAGACATTAAAACAACGTTTTGAAGGGTAACCATCCGGTAATGTAGAGACATAACCTGTGAATTTAGGGCGAAGACATGGGTTGTTGTCCGCTCTGACATTTCTCAAGTGCGACGACGTTCTTAAAGCTGAACGTTGGCGTCTTTCTGGTGTTCTTGGAGCGGTTTAATTGAAACATGCCACTGGCATTGTCTGACACCAAAATAATCGTGCAGTATCTTGTGATCATAAGTTTTGAAGTTAAGACTGTACGTTAAGATGTTCGAAGAAGCCTGTCAATGTCACTTGATTTCTCGATAGTTCAAGGGAAAAATACTGTGCAACAAAAGAGGCGTTGGGGCTTGTATGTTTTTTCCCATTAACACACGAAAATAAGCGTCTCTTAGTGTCAAAAGTCTAAACAGAAAAAGCGCACGCATTCAACGAAAATTGAATGAACACACGAGACATAGCACGTGTTCTGTGTCTTCATTTAACCTTCATTTAGGATGTGCAAGCGCAGGCGTAAACCCAAAATAAAGGAGAGTAACTAATTACCTGTCAGAAGAGAGCAAAGCAATCTAATGCCTCCTTTCGCCTTTCAGTGTTCATTTATTCTGCGAATCATACTTTTTGCCTTCTTTTTCTTTGTCAATTGTTTTCTATTTCAGCCGACACTTCAAGATTTAGTACCAGTGGTGTGGCAGGTGGTGTTCAATCAAGTCTTTGTTCAGCTACCTGTCAATGTTCTGTTCTACTGGCTGAAAGACTTGCGTGGCTTTGACCGGAGCCTAAGCCTACCGTCATTGTCTCGGGCCATGGTGCACTTCGCCTGCTTCGTCGCGATCGAAGAGGCCCTGTTCTACTACTCGCACAGGTGGAAAACGTCGTTATTTTTAAATTTGTTTTATTGAGATAAAATGGGGGTGTTGTTAACGTCTTCATTTCCAGTTAATCAATGCAATACTTTTGCCCAGACGTTTACAGCAGTGAAACCATCAATCAATGAATCAATTTTTATAGATTTTTATCATTTGCGTAATAAGACAAGACCTATAGGATAATAAGCGGGGGGTCCCGAAGTTAGAAACCACATGTGGTTCGCAACCTATTATGCTGATACACAAGAATATAAATAGGGGGATTATTTGATACAAACACGTTTATAAAATATTACACTTTTATGCACATATACTTCTAAATAATAAAATACTGAAAGTTGCAAACCCGGTGCCAAATCTTTCAGTGATTACTTATATAGACTGAATAGAGAGTTTAAAAAGTTAGATGCGCAACACTCCATGTCAAATCAATAGAGCAGGATAAAACAGGAAATCAGAATATTGGCGTTACAATAACATACACTAATATTACCAAGGAGTCATTTTGTTAACACTCTAAACGAAAACATTGCAGCAGTATACATGAGAAGTGATGGAGTCGGCCTAACAAACTTCGTTTGTCGCCATACCAAAACGATTTTCTCGCGACATTTTCAAAGCACAAGCCGATAAAAAAAAATCGAGTTTGAATGCGGACTTGAAGAGTAAAAGTTTCTAGTTTCTTTGAAGCGTCGTGGCGAACCGAACGACTGTAACGGCTACACTTAGGCTTAAAAACAACACAGCCGAGTTGGCGTTTCTGGTCACTGGTAAAAAGAAGTTATGGGCTGACGGTGCAGCAGCTGTTCGAGATAGCTGCTAGAGAACGAGAGAGCTGCGCGGCTTGCCATTGGCCATTTATTATCTGGCAAAGAGGCAATCTCAAACACCGCTTCTCCTACAAGATCTACTTCGGTGTCTACTGTACGACTAGGAGGAGTGGGACTCCAGTGCAGCTGATAGAGCATTTCGAGGACCATTACTCAGTAGGCTCTTCAGGCTGTGTCTGGACAGAGCTGCATTAAGAATGCTGCAGTGTCAGGGAGACAGCCGCACGGTAACGACGGAACCCGGTGAGGGTGCTTTGCGAAACGATGGTATGCCGCGAGTAAAAAATGAATCTTTGTCGAGGAAATTTGCGAACAGGCGTCTGGCGCTAGAAGCCTCCAGTCGGTGGTGATCACGGCCGCCATCTTTTCGGGCGTTGCGTAATGACTACTCAAGACCGTATATGTGCGAGACAATTGGGGCAGTTGCTCTTGTGGAGTGTTATTTCGTAAATCTGTGTGGCAAGTGACTAATTGCGTGACAAATACCGGAACGAGGGCCGCTGAAGTTAGGCCTGTACTTGCTTGCGCACTTGTTATCCGCTCACGTTCGTTATATGTGTACATCGGCAGTGGAGAACGGGCACTTTCTATAACACCTTTCTATAAATGTTACCTGGCCGTGCGAGGTTCGGCTATTATATGAAGTCGGTTTTGTGCAGTAGAGGATCTTACTAGGAGCAGTATATCGTTGCAACTCAACAACAGACCCGCCTACAAAGTGTTCCACAACGAGACGCATGACATGCTGTGCTAGTTGCAGCGAAATTATGTGTGCGTATTCACCACTACGTACCGTGTGTACTGTTCACATCTAAAGCGTACTATGCGTTATTTTTGTGTGTTCATTGTGTGATATACAGCTTAATTGTGTCTTGTGCACCGTGTATTGTGCTTTATCGTGATTACGCCCTTTCCCCTGCACATAATAAAGCAAAACGCAGGCGCCTCTGATTGACCCAGATACCTCTCATTGCCGTCATCCTCTTACATTGCTTTATGGGTATCGTGTGCTTGGATGCGTCACTCGTATTCGAGCTTCTGCTACTTGGTCGACAAAAGAAATATTCCTTCTGCCAGACAAAAGCACATGTACATGCACATGCCGCACCCGTGCGCACTGCGATGCGTAGCATAAACTAGTGGTGTTGCGTAGCCCGCCAGCCACACAGATGGACCGGGGTAATGGTTTCTCGTATTCGGGCCACGTGCATGCTTCGCCTCACCATGCTCCTTTCCGTCAAATCTTCTGCGTCATAAATAATGAGTCCCTACCTCCCGGGACAGACTGAAATATAAGCGGGGAACTGAGCGAGATTGGTATATCAACCCGAATAACCTTAGCGAAGCGTTGTCCACCTCCTCTCTGTCACAAGAAAGGCGGTAACATCAATCGTCATCATGGGTCGCGTAGACCCTTTTAGTTTGCTGCGGCCTACATATAGATGGCTCGTACGTGGTCGGAACAAGAAGTAAGGAATCCGAAGAACGAAAGCTTCTCTGAAGCGAAGGTCGCTTTCGGGCAGGCTTTCCTTACCCCTCTTCGTGCGAGGCCTCAACTATCACTTTAGTGCACTTAAGATATCTACTAGAACGTTGCTTCTGAACAACAAAAAAGTTCCTGTTCTGCGGGGTAAGGTCTCGGCACTGATTCTCCATCAGGCGTCAAACTTTGTGTTCCGCGTTTTCTCCTATGCTGTCGTCGCTCGCTGATCTACTTTTGATCATCTTCTACAGTGGCATCCTTCCAGGCCAGTCGAAAAGACATTAAGCTTTTACAGCTGAACGTCCTGAGAACCCCAACTGTGGGCAAGTGGATTCGTAAATCATGTCACAGATCTTGAAATTTGGACGAATAATCGAGTTAAGTAAGTTATTGAAGGCTGCGCAGTGTGGGGCCGAGTTGGTCGACGGTGCCTACAGATGTGCATTTTGCTCTAATGAACCACTCAGCAAAAAGCTTCTGTTAGGCATTCTGTTGCTTCTTTTAACTTGTATTATGAATTCATATTCGTATAACAGCATGTGTTGCATTAGGTGACAAATGAAAATTCTGGGCATTCGTTTCGCATTGTGGTACAAGGACTGCTCTTCTGACGAGTGCGCAGAGAGTTTGGGTGCGCACAAGAATAAGATGACCCTCTTTCACCAGTGAAAAAAAATGAAAAATCGGCAGATCTCACGTACCTTGGGAATCGATATATGCAAAGCATGCGGAGGGAAGGTGACCAAGTTGCATAAAATGACACTAAATATATGTATACGTGTAGCACGCACAGGCATATGCTGAACAGTTGCAGATCTTTATGTAACCAGTTGTTTGCACTTGCGCAACGATGCCAAGAGGACATGAGTATTAGCGACCACCAGAAGCTATAAGCTGGTATGATGCACTGGTCCCTCGCGGGGGATGGCGGCCCTGGACACTGCTACATAAATCGATTTCAGGGCATGGCACCTAACTCCAATTGACGTAACCCGACGTGACGGCTGTATCAGAGGAGTACATATTGCCACGTGACAGTATATAATGATTATGGATCTGGATAGCCCGGCACTGCAACCACAGTTGACGTTTCTCAAACATTAGAGTATATCTGAACAGTAGTTTTGAGATGTGGCGTGGCTCCGTGTTAGAAAGCTTGATTTCTACACATAAGGCTTGGGATCGCTGCGACCCTAACATTATTCTTTGCAATAGTCAGGTCAGGTCCCGCGGGTATGTGCCACTGTCTAGCGGGAAGTGTTTGACGACGTATGCGACTGTATTGTGACATTATTCATGTCTAGACCACCACGTTATATTTGCCACACCATCTTATCCTCCCATACCAATTTTAGTTCACGCCAAGTTAAGTGAATGATCAAAAGAGCACCCAGACGTAGGCGGCTAGACAGACAGACAGACAGACAGACAGACAGACAGACAGACAGACAGACAGACAGACAGACAGACAGACAGACAGACAGACAGACGACAGACAGACAGACAGACAACAGACAGACAGACAGACAGACAGACAGACAGACAGACAGACAGACAGACAGACAGACAGACAGACAGACAGACAGACAGACAGACAGACAGACAGACAGACAGACAGACAGACAGACAGACAGACAGATAGATAGATAGATAGATAGATAGATAGATAGATAGATAGATAGATAGATAGATAGATAGATAGATAGATAGATAGATAGATAGATAGATAGATAGATAGATAGAATAGATAGATAGATAGATAGATAGATAGATAGATAGATAGATAAGATAGATAGATAGATAGATAGATAGATAGATAAGATAGCTAGCTATGATAGAATAGATAGATACGCACGCAATAAGTACCTTGCAGCACGTAAACAAATGCTTCACATTTAACAAGAATAAAGGGAGCTTCAAAAATAGGCTATAAATAACTATGTAACGGAGTGAGCGTTTTTTATTCGCGCATACACAAAGCTGCTTTCAAATCAAGTATGCGTATTATAGATGGTATGAGGCGACACTGTGACCTCGAGCCTTTCTTTGAACTTTGGCATTCATTATAGTTAGAGATCGGATGCTGTCGCAGCGTAGTGCGTAATCTTTCTCTGGGCTATATCGCTATAGACGGATATTTCATTTATTGTAATGCGATCGGGTTTCACCCACAAAACCCTGTTACCACTATTCGTTGCAGACCACGTCGCAATATTTGGAAAGTTTGCGAGTGTTTCAGACATTGCTGTTAATATTACGTGTTGGCCACAAGTGACCTAGTTAAATTTTTGAACTGAGCACCAGCGACAACCTTAGAGGGTTCGACGAAGCGCCATAAAATCCGGCCAATATGGCGACGAACTGATTAGTCGACGCCCGATGACCATACTCGCTGCTATCTCTGTACAGAGAGTATTCGTCTTCATTTGGCTAACTTGTACTCACTAAAAGAGATAAGCTCAAAATAGGAGATTTCGTTAGTAGCAAATTGTGTTCTATGTGCTTCTCCATCGCAACAACTCGACAAAATGTTTTTTTTTTTCTCGAAGTGGAGCTAGCAAAGTTCACTCATACCCTTGTTTAATTCCTATGGTGATATTGTTACGGAAAAGAAGGGACGCCGTATCGCCAAGGCTGGGGATTAGATGTATTCAAAACTAGCGTTAATGGCGTGACCGGTTCACCAGCGATCGAGCGGAGACAATCCTTCGTCTTCTAGTCAGGCACACACGCGCGTCGCCCCCTAGAATATCAATATACATGCATGTAGCAATATTTAGGTCTTATAATTATATGGTGATATAAAACTTTAGTACCTTATTCAACGTCAAAAACGAAGAAACAAAATTGGATAAAAACGAAAAAAAAATGTCCTCCACTCTCTGCATCCCACATCTCTAGGCATTGAACAATAGTGATTGAAGTGGACCATTGAACATTAGCGTTGCCAGGGTCCTTTAATCTGACACTACATTGTTTAACACATCAAGTTTTGGGAAATAATACAGAAGAAGTGTTAGTTTTCTGCTAATCCACGTGGATCGTACAGAAATTTATGGTGGGTTTGTGTGACAGGGCACCGCATTAATGCGTTGCCTCTCCCATCTTCCTCAAGTGCCTACTGGCGCCCGACTGGTCATTTCAGAGGCCAAGGACCACCAGTTTCGATTTCGACGATCTCCACTAGAGGGGCTGTTCGGACTAAGAAAAAGCCAATTACTGCAAATTTCTTGAGAGTTCAGTTATGCTCTCCTTGTAGCTAGTGTGGATGATTGAATCTCTTACAGTGTATAATGTCGCATTGAGAGAAATGGCTTCATCACGTGCCACGGAGTCACAAGCCGTAACATGTAACATCCAACTTTAAGCCACTATAACATTGCTAAGGTCTAGTGCATTTGTAGGAATAATACACGTTAAATGAGCATATTGAACTTAATCCATGTTTAGGTCAGAAGTTTAACGTCAAACACAAATCCGAGATATAAAAAATTCTAATTGTGGGTTCTTGTAGCTGGGACACTGATTAAAATTCATGATTGTGTAGTAACGGCAAAGGCAACGACTGTCGCTTTTTTCGGTAAAGGTAACTGTTACGCGTTACCTTTTTTGTAGGTAACGTAGGCGGCAACGGGTTCCTTGTTTGTTAGTGCAATGAGTAACGTATTTAGTTACTTTTTCGGTGACGAATGCAACACTGATAAACACCACGTCTCAGCAATGAATACAGATAGTACCTGATGTTTCGTGCCCAGCGTGAAATGATTTGAAGCGATAGCCGATTTCGCCATTTGTTCATTGCTGTGAAGACAGTGGGCGAGTCATGAGTTCTAATCGAAGCGGGTAGTCGCGTCTATATGGGTGCTGCCATGTTGGCTTATAACCCCTGCTACTGCACGGCCATGGCCGCTTCGTCGGCCCAATGCGTTGGCTGGGTATAGCGGCGGACTGGCTGTGAGAAGGCCAGTTATGTTCACGTGATCAAACATGGCTGCGCCCGTGCACCGCTGAGGAAAATTGACACGCTAATGTACCCGAGTACGGCAGGCGAGGGCAAAAGAAAGAAATGGAAACGACCCCCATGCCACCGTGCCACTTCACCCTTATTTTCCCAAGGCTCCTGCACCACCGACTGCTGTACCGGCGTTTCCACAAGAAGCACCACGAGTGGACGGCTCCCGTGGCCATCACCGCCGTGTACTGCACGCCTCTCGAGCACCTGCTTTCCAACGTCCTGCCCGTGGTGGTCGGGCCCGCTCTGCTCGGGTCGCACCTGAGCGTGCACTGGCTGTGGGCCGGGCTCACGGCGCCCTACGGCGTCATCGTGCACTCCGGATACCACCTGCCGCTGCTGCCATCACCACAGATGCACGACTTCCATCACTTAACGTGAGTGCGAATGGCGACAATTATCTATCTATCTATCTATCTATCTAATTTCCTCTCTCTCTTTCTCTATGTGTGTGTGCGTGTGCGTGTGCGTGTGCGTGTGTGTGTGTGTGTGTGTGGTGTGTGTGTGTGTGTGTGTGTGTGTGTGTGTGTGTGTGTGTGTGTGTGTGTGTGTGTGTGTGTGCGAGTGTGTTGCTGCGCATGCAGTATACTTTGTTAAAGCTAGAGATTAGCACGCAGTTGGTTGAAGGGATAAAGCCGAAATTTTATGAAGTTCTAATGGCTCCTATCATCTTTATGTAGACTGAAGACCATCCTTGCAGCTCCCGCATACATATACAACAGATGGATGGATGCTATGAGCGTTCCACTTATCAGTCAATCAATCAAGGGGAATTTTATTGCAATATAATGTACAGAATGTGTACAGGAATATTTGGATCCATTGCCTACCTATAATAAGATAACTATTGAAACGTCAATAGAAGGACTTTGCAGAAAACATGAAGTGTCAATCATTGCCGCACAACAGTTGGCATCACATCATCTGTTTGACAGGTACCAAAGATACTCTCACGTGTACACTGACGGCTCCGTCACCAGAGAGACAGCGACATCAGCATTCATAATTCCGGATTTGCACGAAGAATATGCATGTCGGTTGGGCCACCTCTCCTCTTCAACAGCATCGGAGCTCGTAGCGATTTTGCTAGCCATAAGCTTTATTAAACTGTCAACGACACAAAAAAAATGGGTGGTAATTACAGACTCTCTGGCAGCACAAGGCATGTGTGGAAAATGCCACTTCAAGACACATTGATGTGCGTATAGTATACGCTATACTAAAAAATCTCTCAGAAGCTACGAAGTTGAATCATCGAGTGGCATTTCAGTGGGTTCCCAGTCACTGCGGAAATAAGGGAAATGAAATGGCGGATGAGTTGGCGAAAACCGCTCATAATTCTACGCAAACGTGCCTCATTCCCGTATCTCAATATGATGTAAATAGAATTTTAAGAACAACAAAACGGGAATCATGTCTGTCTACCTGGTTCACAGACAAAACAAAGGAATCGATCCTATATGCGGTTCATCCTAATGTTGAATACCAATTAGACCGTGACCTCCCAAGACGTATTCACACACTCATTCATCGCTACGACTCGGAACTGCTTACATAAAGCACTTCCTATTTCGCATTCAGCGTGCAACATTGTCAGCATGTTCATGCGGCCACGACGACGAGCATATCTGTCACCTCTTGTTGGACTGTCCGAAACACGACATACTCCGAAGGCAACTAGAACAGGAACTGCGTAAGTTAGATCCCGAGCGGCCATTTGCGTTGAATAAAATGCTAGGTCCATGGCCATCCGAAACAAACGGCAAAGCAATGAAGGTTCTGCAACAGTTCTTCGAATAAACGAAGATTTGTGACGAATACTGAGCGGACAAAAGTTAAAAGTGAGCGTGGCATCTGCGTGTTTGTTCTGCCCATAGGAGAATCCTTGCTCTCACCCATGTAGGACTGTATAGATGTATATATGCTATTGTTTTTTTTTTATTTGTACCAATCAAATGGAAAGAGGTAGTCATCGCCAAGTAACGGTGACAAAACCTTCTTCGTTTATTTTCTATTTCAATAAAAAAAAGGTAGTTACAAGTCTGCTACCAGCCTTCACAAATAAAAAACATCTTTTTTTTAATTTTTCTAAGCTGGCCTAATGCCTTAATTGTTCACTTCAAATAAATTTATTTTACTATGAAGAAAAAAAGGCAATTTCGCAGCCCAGTTTTCAGCCCTTTACGGCAAGATGTCTTTATTTTCTCCTATTAATTATTTTCATCCTTTCTGCTTTTATGCCACAACTACACTAACCAAATCTTACTGATTTCTATCACGGGCGCTCAGCGCTTCCTATTGTCTCTAAAACCTAAGGGTTCATGTGGGCTCGAGCATGCCAAAGCATACACGTGTGGGTATATCTCCATGCTTAATCACAGAATACTCCGTTGTTACCTCATCTTTCCTAGAGCATTTGCATTGTTTTTCTTCTTTATGAAAGTTCACTTTATAACTACGCATTATAAAGCATCTCAGTCTCGCTTCAAAGACTAAAGCGCTTCCCCTTGAAATATTATAAAATGGCTGCCTTCTCAGTTTTTGGCCTTTCCGTAGTTACTGAGAGCCGGGTATCTCAACATTGCTGCGACCCATTGAATCCTCTCCAACCCTCCGGCCTTCCATTTCACGCTCTTTGTTGTCAACCACTTACACTGCCAGCTGTATATGTAGAATAACACTTACCAGTGAGCCAGCCTCCTGGTTCTCATTGTGTGTCAATGCTCTGCCTATACATATAAAGAAACACTGTACCGGCCCGTCTGCTTTCTTTTATATTCATTAGCGTCTCTTCGAGCTTTATCTTGTTCTGAGCTTCTCTCGCTTTAAAACTTACCCATCCCATATCACCCTTTACAGACTCATTTGTCGCTTTTCCGTGAGCACCCAACGCAAGGCGTCCCACAGTTCTTTCTGATTGTACATCGGATCCCATGCACACCGCTCAGTTCCCAAAAATAAGCACTGGAACCATTACATGTTTCCACTGACCGTCAAGCACCTCGTACCTATTGCATCCCCTCAACGTTATGCGCTTTATTATTGCAGCATTCTTCCTCTTTTTTACCGAGATTTTTTTCCTGTACCTCCACGTATCTATCACCCCCATTTACCCACGCCCTGAGGAACTTTTATTCTCTTATCTCTTAACCTCGGCATGTCTTGTACCTGTATCCACACAGCCTCACAAATGCGATAACCGAATACCATCAATCGACCTGTTGTTACGCTAAATCATAGTCCAATAGCTTCACTGTCCCTTCCGCATATGCCTGCAGCCGCAGTATATTATCTTAACTGTCCGCAAAAGAGACAATCGTCCGCATGAAATAAAGCTTGAACTTTCTGGTGAATATTCGTACCACCATGTTTTGTGATGCAGATTAAATCCAATTTTGTTACCTTCTAGTGCTTATTTCCCATCCGAACAATGCGTGTGCGCGCGAGTGTGTGCGTATGTGTAAGCACTGCCAATGGCGGCGTGTGTAGCGCAAAACCCTGTTAAAGCGACATAGTAACACGGATCCGCATGCTACTATATCTACAAACAGCAGAGCGCCCTCTGGTAAGCTTTATAAGAAGTCGTTTCCTGAAGCGGACCATTGCTGTGTAGCGATTCGGTTATTAACCATGTCTGCAACATCGCATGTGTTGACGGGCGTTCGTTACCTGCGCTTTCCATCTTACCAATCTTTCCAATCTGTTGGTACTAACTGCGCCATTCTTCACCGGGACTCTACCGCTACGAAGTGAACGCTTCAGCAGCGTTACATCACTGTTGCCAGATTCGGCATCGCTGTCAAAGTGCAACAAGGCTATACGCGATTTTCTCTCTTAATTAGAGCTTGTCAATAGATACCGGAATTCACCCATGTCCGCCAAACTAAAAACAAGCTTAATGGAAACGCTGATGACGACATAGCGTGGTTAGTCATTCTATTCCCGTCCTGCGACATGGTTTGCGAAATCTGCGACAGTGATTTCTTCGCCTTCATCGAAGCAGCAAAGACGACTGACGTTGTCGTACGAAAAGACAGATCGCTGGAACGGTGCCTTCGCAGATAAGGCCTACATGAGGCTAGCGAGAAAGTCAGCCTGCATGCACCATATAGCACCGTCACTTTCGCTCTGCTGAAGACAGGAAACACTGATCTATACAGTAAAATGTCTATCTGCCGTTTCTTTTGTGCACCGCATTCGTTGCTTTAGCGATACAGGCACTTCTCCGCTGAGGCAGTCACCATAAGATCGCATCCGCTTCGGGGCATTCACCTTAGCAAGTTAATCTCTCGGGCACGAATAACCAACCAGACGAAAGAGGCTTCCGACAAACGATGTTGTCGTCTGCACTCGTGATGGCCGTTGCAGCCCAAGTGCGCTTGCTCTTTGTCAGACGCCTTTGGAAATCCTCGCGCCTGCGGATAACGCTAGTTAAAAATATGCTTTGGGGAACTTTGTCTTTAGATCCTCCCTAGCTTTATTCCCACTGAAATTCAGCTGTATAAATTTACATGCGCGACTTGCACGATTCTCATGTGGTTTCATAATTTTTGAGGTATGATTGTCAGAAGAAATGCAAAAACTCGGAAGTTGACAGTTTTTTAAACACGTTACTACGACTGTGACCTCCACGATAAAAGTACGCTTCCGCTCCTTGCGATGCTTCGTCAATGTAAAGTTTTATTTTTGCGAGTGTACTTTGGAAAACCGCGCTCGTCTCAATCATAGAACTTATGAAGAGGAACAGAACTAGAGAGCTCAACAAAAACGCAGCTCAAGCTTTTAAAACGTATGAACGCTGTATTTAATGTAATGTCATTATTTTACATTACGTGTGACTGACTACGGAAAAATACAAGAGGCACGCTTTCTCATTGGACCGTCTCAGGCAAAATAATAGGCAAAATATTTAAGCCATTCGTTTACTTGAAGTAATTAACGAACAAAATTAGTTATGTCAGGCAGTATTTTCGCCATCACATTGATAACCAGCCTTCAAGCAAGCTGAATAGATGTCACAAATTATACTATTTCCTTCTGTCAGCAACTAATACGTGGTCATTGCTTTATGCTTGAACTAGCAAATACCCAGCAAGATGGTTTGTTGTGTGCTTTTATGTAGCTACCCTTAACATTATGTTGCGTGTTTGAAAATATGTCTCGTCGTGTGACAAACACAATGTGCGGACAGAACTTTTATTCCTTTGTCTTCCTGAAAAATATCTACTGTAATATCAACATAGGTTCCATGACTTTGAAAGGAACATGAAGACATGCATGGAAACTTCAGAACTCCGCTAAAAAGTGCTCCTATAGACATCTGGTTGGTATAAATGGAATAGAATTGAATAACTTCCTGTAGGTCCTTTCGGGCGTGAATGGCAGCGTGTCGCTCCACATAATAAATATTTGTGATCGGTAGATTCCAGAAAGGGCATTAAAACAAAGACGTGTACTTGCAGAACGAATTCCGAGAACTCTCATAATGTGTCCTCCTTTAGTTGGACATAGCAAAGAAGAAAAGAAAACAAGGCAGCATATTCACTTTGCGCCACTATTGCACTGTCCTGTTGATATGAAGTTTCAATATTGTAAGTATAAACTTCTATGTGTAGTGTAGTTCAGAGGCTGTAGAGACTGCAGTATATTCTTTATTGCCTTTTTTTAGCGACGTCACAAGCTCTCTCTCTCTCTCTCTCTCTCTCTCTCCATATATATATATATATATATATATATATATATATATATATATATATATATATATATATATATATATATATATATATATATATATTACATTGCATCACCAGTGAGTAAACGCTTCTTTGGTTACTTTGTGTTGTATGAAATGGAAAGCGTAGGAAAAATTTTCCCGATATCAAGCTCCACCATCCGTACATCGCGCTTCATATATGCGTATACTGTCATTATGATTTCTGTAAAAGTTCTAGTGTTGTTCAGGCGCCAGTTGGTGGTTTTACAACATTCGTTCGAAGCGTAAGTCGGCAAAGTCTCTCGTGAGTCGACTCACTTGGACGTACACTCACAATCATATTCAGCCGTGAGAGTGAGTTGGAAGTGAAGAATGTGAGTAATATATGCTGGTGACTCTCAGCCCGAATGAGTCCGTTTGAGGAAACAAAAACGGTAAGTCTGAGTCGCAGTGAGCTCTGAGAACAAAGTACTCATTTCTTTGGTGAGTGTGAGTGATATGAAATATTTTTTGCCGACCTATGGTTTCAAGGGAACGTCTACTGAACACTCGTCTGTTCTGTTCTGTTCTAACCGCTGTGCTGTGGAGAGGTTGAGGTCCATTAAGGTTCGTTTGTAGCCCTCTTTTCACGCAAGTCAGTGCGAATACTCGAGCGGATCATTGCATGTAGCGAACAGTGGGTACTTTTTGTGGAAGAAAAAAACACTCACCCATGCCTATATATAGTATTACGTTAGGCCATGATTATCCGTTTCCCTCCGTGATTGATATCGAAGCTGAAAAAGGCTCATTGGTTGCAATGGATCATGGTGCATGCTCCTCGTTCACTTCCCGAGAACCATGCACACAGGGGAGGGCGGCAGCCAATGAGGTGGTCAAAGGCATCCGCTCCGAATAGTTACTGCAAGGAATTAAACGCGAGACCCGGGTAAGACGGGAAAGCCCAGCCGGGGGAGACAGGGAGAAATAGATAGAAAAAAAAAGAGGTAGGAAAAGAGAAAGAAAGAGAGATTGATATAGAGAGAAACATGCTTTTCCGGCTTCTTTCTCGAGGCACGCAGGTTTCGAGGAAACTACGGCATTCTGGGAATCCTCGACTGGCTGCACGGCACGGACGGAGCCTTCAGACAGAGCGAAGCCTACCAGAGGCACCGGTTGCTGCTGTCGTTCAGGCCCGTCCACGAGCTGTATCCGGACACAGGAGGCCGACGCGATTTACCCACTGAAGGGCGATCAACGACGCAGTCGCATGGCTGACACCGAAGCCCATTTCTTCCTTTCTTTCTGTGATTGTTGTTTGCCCATTTACGATACCAATGTTGATCGACTGGGATCGTCTCGAAGACCCGGCTGGACAAAGTGCGACGCGACAATTATGATGGCCTTGTGATAACCGTGGGAGAAGAAGGAAAGTAAATATCTGGCACTGAAAATGTGAACATCACTCCGTTCAGTTCAGTTCGTTGCCGGTTCACAATTTACCTTCGACAAGCTGGTGTTCGTGTTGCGCGTGTTCGCGCTATTTGTTCATTTCTTCTTTTTCTTACTTTTGTTCTTAATTTTCTGTTTTATCTATAACTCCCCCTTTCTCCCGCCCCTCATGTAGCGTAGCCAAAAAAGCCGAAACTCCTTAAGTAACACACCTGCATTTCCCCTTCGTTTGTCTCTTTCTCTCTCTGTAACCTTCTTGCAAGCACTACACTCGCCTAAAACAAATTAAACATTCAGTATCACGGCTAGTGATGAATATCAATCAATTGGTTAATCAATCATTGATTTTAATCAATATATATATATATATATATATATATATATATATATATATATATATATATATATATATATATATATATATATATATATATATACAGAAGGAAACATCGATAACGGACAGCTATAATTACCCATGACCCCCCAATAGCCCGCTACTGCTGGACACTTTTATCCCCAGTTGAGAAAATTTCTTCCTAAAAAGCGCTTGGGCTTCCAAAATAAAGTCGGAGAACAACTATTTTAATGGTGTGTCTGCGTTCGTCGCGAATTATCTCACCTTTTTCTCCTCGCGTGTTCTGAATGCGAATGCTCCGGTAATGACTGCCGCAAGATGTGCTTCTCCGCTGGACATGTTCGTGGTCACGTACGGCGGCGCTAAGCCACAGAAAGAAAGAAGGATTTAGTGAGAACAACGCCAGAGAAACACAAGTGCCGTTCGCTTTGGAGACTTCAGCGAAAATAAATATCTCCATTATCTCCAATCGAGATAACGAGTCTCGGAACTCGATTCTTTCGGCGTGCCTTGAGTGTTGTAGTCGACTGAGATAATCATATGCGAGGCAAGGAAGCGTAGCCTGCTTGTTTTGAATATTTGCATTCCTTAGTACATTCGCTCTCTGTGGAACAAGCTGATATTGAATCACTCGAAAAACTGTCAATAATTACAACGGCGACCGATGGTATGGTTTAGCGCGTGGCACAAATGATGACGACTTGCAAACTCAGTACGACACTGCATTGATGTAAATCATCTACCTAAGCTTAGGCGAGAGTACTGTGGTTGAAATGCTTCCTTAAACAGTGATGCTGTTTAACAAGTCGTTCCTTGAGAGTACCTCCACTAGAGTGTCCCCCCATAATCATATTGTTTTGTCTTTTACGTAAAACTTCAGACATAATTATTGCGGTATTGTTGGGAGATGTCCGAATACACCCGATTGACTGCGATTGAACTCCAAATAGTGCTTACGCACTGTCGGACGATTCCTAAGTATAGGGAGTTTCCGGTTCGCTTTTCCTTTTTTATTTTATGCCTCTAGTTTCTTGAGATCAAGTGATGATGATGCGTCAAAACACTCTTCGCAGATCATTTCGATAAGTGGTACTTCGTTTGTTTGTGAGAATGTAAATTACTTAGCAGCGTAAGCGCAACAGCACGAAAATGAAGGAAAAAAAGAAAGAAAAAAGAAAACAGAAGCGCGTTTTTCTAGGACCCTCGGCGAACTTAGTAGCAGTGCTTTTACTTCCTTTGTTGATGGCGATGTTTTTAAAAAATGAGACACGAAAAGGTTGACGTACGTGAATCGTGCGATAATCCGAGCAAAGTATGAACCCCTTCCTATTTTATCGAAAACGGCACAATTTAATTTCACCTTCTAACCCATTCCTAACCAAGCATGTTGTTGATAACCATACTAAGACATGAAGTTGATGGGAAAAAATCCACAACCACAATCGAGTAATCTGTTAGCGCGTGACGCAAAAGAGTCTAGCGCACAAAAAGACGTGATTGGTTTGGTATTCTTCGTTCCTGCATTCTCAATGCCCTATATCATTCCCATTTTCTTTTTATTTTATTAGTGGCACCTACACCAAGGTTACATTCTTGTTTCTCTTTCAAGCACTTATGGTTGAACACTTCCAGTTCTTTTTTTAGAATATTCAGAAAACAAAATTAAGCATAAATCCGGTGCGAAATTAGTGGTGGTTGTTCGCGAACAGGACTTTGATTTGGGTGAGTTGATACATTGTTAGCTGGGTCAAAAACAACTCGAAAATACGACTACATAGAAAGAAACACAGTACACATATTGTTGCGAATGTATTTACTACTTTAGAGTAGAAAAGTACTCCAGCAGTCAAGATGGCAGCCGTTGTGTATTTCGAACAGCCCAAAAACGTCGTCGTCTTCTTCTTCGCACCGCCCGCATAGCTGCATAGCCGCGAACCCGCAACATCGACCTCCGGCGGCGAAAAGCGCCGACCCGGCGCTTGTTAGCAGGTGTTGGACGAGATGTACGGCTTGAGGCGAGCGACGTGGACGATGTCGGAAGATGTGGAAGGTATCGAAGGGTTTAGAGGTGCTATTTCATAGGTAACATCAGTTACCTGCCGTAGCACACGATAAGGTCCGGAATACTTGGGTAGAAGCTTTTCAGCCAGACCAACATGTCGCGACGGAGTCCACAGAAGAACGAGGTCACCTGGACTAAAGTGGACGTCCCGATGGTGGCTGTCATAGCTACGTTTCTGACGGAGCTGCGAGTCCGAAAGGCGCTGGTGGGCAATCTGACGGGCTTTCTCCGCGGTGCTAATAGCGCGGCGAGCATATGCTGTGGACAGGTCGGTAGGGTTGGGTACAAGCGTGTCGAACGGCAATGTCGGGTCTCTTCCATACAAAAGGTAAAAGGGAGAATATCCAGCAGTGTCGTGGCGTGAGCTATTGTAAGCGAAAGTGACAAAGGGTAGCGCAATGTCCCAGTCACGATGATCCGTCGACACGTACATGGCGAGCATGTCAGCTATGCGGGCGGTGCGAAGAAGAAGACGACGACGTTTTTGGGCTGTTCGAAATACACAACGATATGATCGCTATTGCCTGGTTTGGTGCGCTGTAAAAGGAGCAGTTGGTGGAAGAAAGATGTCAGTTGCAAGTTCAGCGCTCATATGTGTACTGTGTTTCCGTGTCCTCGTCGTTTTTGCGATGTTTTTTTCCAAGCTAGCGGTGCTATTGAAGTTGAGTGTTAGGCTGAATACGTGCAGATATCAGAGCATGAGTTATCATAAAAACCGATTAACTTTCAGGTAATTAATAAAAAAGTTATTGAACGAGTTCATTGAGAAAAAAAATGTTTTTTTTTTTTTTTGAGTAACATGGATCGCGGCGGTACCTGGCGGAGCAGGTCTCAATCACACGCTTGTTTCTACGTGGTCTCGGAGATATGCCTCGGCAGCGCGAAACGTAATGTTGACACGTGGCCTCCGAGATAAGCCCTAGCGAGTTTCCGGAGGCTATCTATGAGGCCGCGGTCAACCCAACACCTTCTCTAATTTTCAAACAGAGGTGGCGTTCGTTAATACAACGAATACATTAGGGTCGCCTATATCTTTGTCCAACTATTTTGTCTGGTAATTGTTGGCTGTGATTACTTGCCTATTTATTCCGTCCTTGCAGTAAACACAAGTAGTGCTGTATCGTTTCGTTTATCGAATACGAGCTCCGAATTGCCTTTTGAAAGGTGATTCAGCATTAGAACGTACTCCTAAACAAGACATGACCGTAGCAGGTTAATGGCATTTCATGTCGAACAATGCCATGGTTTGCTGTGGCGCTAATGGCACGTTACGTATGTGAATACATGCCTTGTATAAGTATTAAACGAATCATTTCGCTGAAAAAAAATAGAAAAATGCTTGATAAACGCAAGAAAATATCTTCTGTCACTGTGAATCGATAACTAAAAGAACAGAAACTAACCTCGACATTTCGATTTTAAGCCGACGAAATAGTGGTGCGTTGAAATGGCTAAGACGTATGATCTTATTGAAACTGCTCAATGTTTTCAAATTGAATCTTTGCCTTTCCATTCGCCGCATGTAGACGATATATATGATTTGCGCCAAGTTGACAGTTTTGACGTTACTGCAGATGATCGAATTTTCGTCTTGTCAGCGTTGGAAATTGAAGTCTTCTAGAAAGATGCGTGTGTTACGCGTATATAGCAACCTACACTTCGCAAAGCGAATGTCAGTGACGTGAATTCTAAAGAATGTTGTTCTTTCTAAGTCCTTTATTTTTTATTTCTCTCGAGTAACACCAAATTCTTGCGACACACATCACGAAAATAGGTGAGCTTTTGCTACACAGATTTTATGGCATATCTTCATTTCTTGTTGCGTGTGCGTAAGAATAAGGACGTGTTTAACGACACATATACATTTCATTCTGCCTAAAAAAATGTGTTTTTAGGATGCGTAAAGCAAACCAGAATAAAGCGAATGGCAAGGCATCAGTCCAATATATATATATATATATATATATATATATATATATATATATATATATATATATATATATATATATATATCGTTACGTAAGGTAAGGGTGCTTCTACTGAGATCGCGGACTCAGGGCCCATTAACCCCCCCCCCCCCCCCCCCCCTTAAGTTACACTCTAAAAAAAAGAGCGAATAAAAAGGGTGTATTTTTGTCCCGCAACAATAATCGTCATCTATATTGCGTTTCATCCTTGCGCTATCGCCCCGCGCCCGGTACATTCCGGTCACGATCGACATGCCCATTATCAGGGTTGCATTGCATTCTCGATAGGAAAGTGGCCAGCGCCGAGTTTTCAAAAAAGCAAGCGCACGCAAGCCTGATGACGATTATTGTTGTGGGACAAAAAAGACTCCCTTTTTACTCGATATTTTTTAGAGTGTACCTTACCTTACGTTATATATATATATATATATATATATATATATATATATATATATATATATATATATATATATATATATATATATATATATATATATATATTTATATATATATATATATATATATATATATATATATATATATATATATATATATATATATGTATATATATATATATATATA